AAAAGAAGGTATATTGTCTGTCATTTGGGTGCAAGGTACGCCAGATGTCAATTAGATCCAATTCATCAACTAACTCAAAAAAAGCTCTCGGTAAATTTGTCCTTTTATTTTTTTTTACTTTATTGCTCTTGTGGTCCTTCTCCGGATCCACGATGCCATTAAAATCCCCTATCATACAGATTTCATTATATGCCATTTTCACTAATTGTTCGTGAAGTTTCTTAAAAAATTCTCCCTGTTTTTTATTCGGGGCATAAATGCCCACTAATAATAGCTTGGAATTCCCTCTCTTAATTTCAACCATAAGGATTCTACCCTTTGTATCTTTGAATTTCAATTCTGCTTCAATTCCTTTTTTTACGTAAATAGCCACCCCCCTCTTCTTTTTCTCTGCCAGCGAATCAAATGTTTGACCAAATTTTTTATATTCTAGACATTTACTTTCTTCTTTTTTTATGTGTACCTCTTGTAAACACATTATATCAACATTTTGTTTACCTAGTTTTGTTAATATTCTTTTCCTCTTTTTATATTCATTTAGTCCATTAACATTTACAGATATTAGCTTCAAGTCATTCATCTCTATACCCCTATCTGATTATTGGTTCTTGTTTGTTTCTTACGGCCCTTACTGGTCTTGCTTTCTTCTCTTTGGCTTCTTCTTCTTCTTCTGTCTTCTCCTCTACAGTTGCTTCGTTTGTATTCTGTTGGTGTAGGGCTTCCTCCTCCACTACTGCTGTTTCTAGTTCTTCCTTGCTCCCCTGCTCTTCTTCCACACCTCTTAACTGGTCAAGGAAGTCTTGTGCTGTACTCAGGCTATTTTTATTTTTCTTCCTTGCCAGGTTATTAGCATCCCTTCTGGGAGAAGCCACCTAAATAGTATCTTTCTTTTATTCAACTGTATGGCCAAAAATCTATATCCCTTCCTCATCTCCCGGACTCTTCTTGGTATCTGTTTTAAAATTATTATTTCTTTTCCTCGATATGTAATCTGTTCATCCCTTGCCATGTTGTAAAGAATATCTCTAACTTTTTTCCGTGCGAAGCGGATATGAACTTCTCTAGGAAGCTTGTTCCTTCTTGCATAGTTAGTCTGGACTCTATATACGTCGTCCAGCTCCCTGATTATCGCCTGTTTGTCTTGGTGAAGTGCCTCAGCTATCAGCTCCGCCATCTTTTCACCTAGGTCTTCCTCTTTGTCCTCGACAACATTCTGAAATCGTAAATAGAAGGAAGCCCGGTCCATCTCCAATTGAATTATTGTATCTTCAATCTCTTTATTTTGGCTCGTTAATGTTTGGTCTACAATATCTAATTTCTTTTCAGTTTGGTCAATTCTTGTTTCGGCTTTTTGAATTCGCACTTCATTATTAACTATTGATGTTTGGATGTCATTCATTTTCTGGTCCAATGCATGTATGTCTGATTTTAATTCAACATGGTTATTTAACAGTTTTTCCTGCATTGCCATCATTGTTTCTTGAATCAAAGTTAATGATGCTTGCAGAGTTTGCATTGCCAGGCTTTCTGTTGATTTTTGTGTCGCCGGAGAGGTTGTCGCTATAGTGGGATTAGAGGGGGTCTTTTTTCCTGTTTTCCCCACTGTGGATGCCATGCTTATCATTTCTTTCAAAATTTTCTTTTGCTCTCTAATTATCCTATCAATATTACACCAAATTTTCATTCGCCAGTTAGCGCCTCTATTATCTTTTTATTATTATTATTATTATTATTATTATTATTTTATATAAATGTATATTTGTATATATATATTACTGTATCTACTTTTTCCTTCTAAATTTATAGACAAGTATAGCTAGTTTTCCAGTGGGCAATCAATATCAATATCTATACTGTAATTCTAAACTCCTCCTCACAGTGTATTATTTAAATGTATTAAATATTAAATTGGCTTAATAAATATAAGTTAAATAGTTCAATACTATATAAATCAAAATATCAGTTAATCAACAGTTTACAATCAATATATCGAATGTAACAATATAGCAATTAATTTGGCTAAATATTGTACTTTTAAATACTTAAATACTTAAAATACTATAAATACTATAAATAGAGACTTTTGAATATTTAATTTTAAATGCAATTATGATTTTAGATACTATAAAAATACTGGTAGATACTATAAATGCTAAGCAGCTAAATAAGTTTATAGAAAGATTTAAAATATCAAAGCTTGACAGTGTATAATTTTATCTAGTCCAAGAAAAAATCAATTTATCAAGATATGTTCAATTTTAACAGTCAGGATACTGAAGACAGAATATCTGGAAGTTCAAGTGCTATTATTAATTAATTTTTTTTTATATATATATATAATTTTTTCTCCTTCTTGGGATATACTCAATTCTTTTTTGCTCAGTCTCTGGTCTTCTGTAAGCTCAGGACGTTCCTCCAAGTTCAGCACTCTATGGTATTTCTTGCTGCCAAACTGTCCACCGCTAGGCAGATTATTCCTCCGTCCTGTCACACTAATGGCTGAGCTTCCTGTTCATTGCAAAAAAGAAAGCCAGACTCGATCCACCCAATTTCAACCTCCGCTGGGTCTGCTTATATCCACAATAAAAAAGGAAAGAGGAAATAAATGCTGGTCTTAGATTTTCTCACCGATCCTCTCTTGGCACGCCCACTGTCAATACAAATTTCCTTTCTTATTTCGATGCCGGCTCGTCGGGCTCTCTCTCTGCCAGGATACTCAGGAAACTTTCAATCGCTGCCTCTCTCGTTTGTGAGACACTCCTGCCCGACTTCACCGGCCCCTTTCTTGATGTCTTCTCTCCTCGATGCAGGGAAGGTGTGTGTCAATCCTCACTGCAGCATCCGATCTCTCTTGCTTCCATCTGGCTGCTGGTTACCACGGCTTCGCGTCGGCCATTAATTTGGCCGACTCATGCATGCTGGATTTGACAGAGCCGCCCGGTCTTGCGATCAGCGTTTTGCGCCCGCTTTCATGCTCGCCCGGCTCGCTCTCTCGTCCGTGGGGCTCTCCGGGCTCCACGCCCCTCAGGGGTCCGCAAAACACGGTGACTGATGGTGTTGAGGAGCAGCGGTCACTCTCTCAACGCCATATCGCCGCGGGTCACCAACCGGAAGTCCCTGGAGGAAACATCTTATCTAGATCCATTCCAGTCGGGTTTCAGGTCTGGGCACAGCATGGAAATGGCATTGGTTGCATTGGTAGATGATCTCTGGAGGTCTCGGGACAGGGGTTGCTCCTCTGTTTTGGCCCTGTTAGACCTCTCAGCGGCTTTTGATACCATCGACCATGGTATCATGCTGCACCGGTTGGAAGAGTTGGGGATGGGGGGCACCGTGTTACAGTGGTTCTCCTTTCTCTCAGACCGGTCGCAGTTCATGTTGGCAGGTGGGCAGAGGTTGACCTCGAGGCCTCTCTTTTGTGGAGTGCCTCTGGTGTCAGTCCTCTCGCCTATTCTGTTCAACATTTATGTGAAGCTGCTGGGTGAGATCATCCATGGCTTTGGTGTGAAGTACCATCAGTACGCTGATGACACCCAGCTGTACATCTCCACCCCAAGCCACCCCAACGATGCCCTTGAAGTGATGTCCCAGTGCCTGGAGGCCGTGCGGATCTGAATGGGGAGGAACAGGCTCAAGCTCAACCTTCCAAGACTGAGTGGCTGTGGCTCCCGGCATCCCGATATAGTCAGTTGACTCCATCACTGGACTCCCAGATTGCGCGCAGACAGAGTGCGCAATCTGGGAATCCTCCTGGATTCGCAGCTGTCCTTGGAGGAACATCTGATGGCTGTAGCCAGGGGGACCTTCTGTCAGGTTCGCCTGATTCGCCAGTTGCGGCCCTTTCTTGATCGGGATTCCCTGTGCACAGTCACTCATGCCCTCATGCACAGTCACTCATGCCCTCGTGCCTGGACTACTGCAACGCTCTCTACATGGGGCTCCCCTTGAGGAGCACCTGGAGGCTCCAACTGGTCCAGAATGCGGCCGCACGGGTAATTACGGGAGCCGCTTGGCGCTCCCACATAACACCACTCCTGCGTGAGCTGCACTGGGTCCCAGTGGTCTTCCAGGTGTGCTTCAAGGTGTTGGTTACCACCTTTAAAGCAATCCATGGCATAGGACCTAGTTATCTTCGAGACAGCCTGTTGCTACCGACGACCTCCCACCGACCTGTGTGCTCCCACAGAGCGGGCCTCCTCGGGGTGCCATCAGCCAAACAATGTAGGCTGGTGACCCCCAGCGGGAGGGCCTTCTCTGTGGGGGCACCTACCCTCTGGAATCAGCTGCCCCCAGAGATAAGGAGAATCCAAGACCTCGGTGCCTTCTGCCATGCCCTTAAAACTTTCTTTTTCCAGCAAGCTGGACTGGCTTAACATATTTTTAAATATTTTTTAATTTTTAATTGGTCTGTTATCTTAAATTGGGGCCAAATTAATATATATTCTTTTAACTGTTTTTAATGTTTATATTGTATGTTTTTTATCTGGCTGTACAGCGCCCTGAGTCCCTCGGGAGAAGGTGCGGTATATAAATTCGACATAAAATTAAAAAAATAAAATAAATAGTGCTTTCACAGCCCTCTCTAAGCAGTTTACAGAGTCAGCATATTGCCCCCAACAATCTGGATCCTCATTTTACCCACCTCAGAAGGATGGAAGGCTGAAGCAATCTTGAGGCGGTGAGATCTGAACTGCCAAACTGAAGCTAGCAGCTGAAGTAGTCTGCAGTACTGCACTCTAACCACTGTACCACCTCGGCTCATGCCATAAATGTGCATTACTCTACATAATTTCTCAAGGGTTACAGAAGCAGTCTGTAATCCTTGAGAAATTGTGCCATAATGGATCTCTCAGGTCCAAAAGACCTTTAGGAAATGGTGTTGAAAGTCCAGTCTCTCCTTTTAAAAAAATACTTACAGTATAGTTTGAATTTTTTAAAAAAAATATGTAAAGCTAGAAAATAATCTCAGTCAATCATGTATTTTTTTTCTTTAATTCCAGGGTTCTCCAAAACCAATTGCCATTGAGCCATGCTCAGGAAACAAAGCAGCTGTACTCACTGTGTTTTTATGCCTGCCGAGAGGATCACTAGGGGTTCCACCACCTGGTCAATCAGGTAAGAATCTTAAGTCCTATACTCAAATCCAGTATTATTGTCCTAGCAGAAATGGATCTCTCTCTTTTTTTTTTTTAAAGTAAAAGCGTCTGAGTCAATTGTTCAAACATATACCTGGCTATTTAGAATTGGAATCAATAACTTGTGCTTTATATTTTCTTAATATTGAACCCATTTCAAATTGTTCTGCCTTATTTGGCAGACTAAGTTATCTTTACACCAAGAAAAGTAAATCAAAACTGACAAGGCATAGATAGTTGCATTGCTTCTTTCTCTGAATTTCATACATTCAACCTCCTTTTAGATAAAGTCCAGCACTTAATAGAAAACTAGACAGATAGCAAGTCATAACATTGTATATATAGATGTAGTCATTATGTGTGTGTATATGTATTTGCTAAGTCTTATATGCTGCTACAATTGAAAGCAAGTTTGAATGTGTCTTTCCCAATAGTATAAGAATATTAAAATGTAATATAGCAAAATGTTCTTTGTAACATGCCAAAATTCTTCAAAAGCCCCCTGGAAGAATCAGGTCTTCCTTTCTGAAATTCTAGCAAGATGCTTTACATTATGACAGAGAGTGGCGGAGACTATGAAGAAGGACCATCCCCATAATCTCTGCTTCATGAAATCATGCATGCAGTTGAATTGTTTTTCTAATTGCAAAGAGTTGGGTCCAAATTAGTTTATTTGATTTCTTTTATATTCTCACTTTGCCAAATAAAATTGACCTTTTCACATTCCCTTTGTAATCTGTCACTGACGTAGTTTAACTCTGACTTAAATATATTCCTATACTTTAATCTGAATTCACAAGAATCCAAACCTAGATTTTATTTCCAGAGATTTCCTTGTCCCTTCTTAAGAATCAGATAAATATGTATTTCCAATAATAAGAGTCACCTGATGAGTGAGAGGGGCAGCATATAAATTTAATACATAAATCTGGTAGATGGGCAAGGCCATTGCCCAGGTAGGTTAAAAGACAATCAACTTAGGCTAACTCCTAGGAAAAACACCTTTGGATACAGATTCAATTAGTTTTGGTATGAACAGGTGTGTACATATGTTTTATTTACAGGAATAATCTAATAAATGAAATCAGATTCTGTCACAGAGATAATCTAAAGAATGTGTATGTGTGTGTGTGTGTGTGTGTGTTTTCTGAGGTTTTCGTGGGTGTTTGTATGTAGGTCTTTGGTTATTCGGGTTTTCTCGGGTTTGCTCTTCGGGTTTGCTCCTAGAAGCACGAAGCCGAAAACACCAGCCTGAAGATGACGAATGAGACTTCGTCAAAACATCGCCAAGACACTTCCAATTCTACGTGGGAGAAAACCCGAATAACCAAAGACATGTATGTATGTATGTATGTATGTATGTATGTATGTATATGTTTTCTTTTCTTTTCGTAGGTCTTTATGTGTATTTCTCTTTAGCCAGGTTCTTCCTACGTAAACCAAGATTTTTCTGCAGCCCTAGTTCAGCAAAATCCCAATCCACTAGTTTCTAGGCTTTTTTTCGCCAGCAGCCAGCAAGCTCCTTGCTGCCCATTGGGAGTCTCCTTAGTCTGCTGGAGAAAAAAAGCCTAGAATCTAGTGGATTGGGGTTTCGCTGAACTAGGGCTGCAGAAAAATCTTGGTTTACGTAGGAAGAACTTGGCTAAAGAGAAATACATCTCTCTCTCTCTCTCTCTCTCTCTCTCTCTCTCTCTCTCTCTCTCTCTCCTCTCTCTCTCTCTCTCTCTCTCTCTCTCTCTCTCTCTCTCTCTCTCTCTCTCTCTCTCTCTCTCTCTCTCTCTCTATATATATATATATATATATATATATATATATAATATCATTTTAATTTGCAAGTTCAATTTTAAAAAGGCATAAGTATATATTGCTAGCAACATGGTATGCATTATAACGAAGCAAATCATTCACAATCTCAGAGAAAATATACTCGAATAAATTTAAGCTTGAAGGTTGAGAATAGTTATCTGTTCATCTAACATGCCACTTAACGTAGTGGTAGTAATTGTTTAAGCAGATGATGACAGTACTTTCTGTACATAATCCTTCTCAAAAATGGCACTCATCATTGCAGAAATGGATTGAGGGCTTTTGACTTAAACTTAAAGACTTAGTTGGCAACTATAATTCATGTGAAACTGTTTAAAGAGGCTCACTTAACCTTATCACTGAGTGCACAGCTGCTTCTTTCTCCTTGTCTTGTTGCTATCATTTTCCTTTCTTCTTCATTGTATTGTGGGAGGTGGGCACTATCCTTCAGGAGGTCAGATTCATTCAAGAGCTGCAATTTCCCGGTCCCTATTATAGACTAATTTGCAACTGTGGGGATAATTATAGTGATAATTATACAATGATGGAAAAACAGTTTTATATATTTCAACAAACAGCATGCAGAATTCTGTGTGACTGTGTTATACAAATAGAAATGTTCTGGAACTGTGCAGATTGTATAGCTGGAATAAACAGTGAAAATTGGAAAACTTCTTAGAAGTATTTATAATTGTTATAATTTTTGTAATTCATTCAGCAGCACTGGGGCTGACCCTAAAATATAACAAGAATTTTTCTTCCTGTTCATCACCTTTGGTAGTTTTAGCTGCAAGGTTACAACTTCAGTTTATTTTTTTAAAATAATAAAAGAGCCAGTTTAGTCTAGTGGTTAAGGCAGCAGCTAGAAACCAGGAAACTGTAAGTTTTTATTCTGCCTTAAGCATGAAAGCCTGGATGACTTTGAGATAGTGACTCTGTCTCAGCCCACCTCACCTCACTTGTGGGTAAAATAGGAAGAGGAAGGAAGCAGCAGACTAAAGTGCTGTTAAGTAGCATCAGCTGCCTGCAATTATTGCAAGTTCAAATCTCACCAGGCTCAAGCCTTTCATCCTTTCGAGGTAGGTAAAATGAGGATCCGGATTGTGGGGGAAATAAGCTGACTTTGTATAAAAAAGAACACCGCTTAGGGGGGCCGAAAGCCCTACTAAGCAGATATATACAAAAGTATGAAGGCTATTGCTTAACGCATTGTAAGCCGCCCTGAGTCTCTGGAGAAGGGCAGCATATAAAATAAATAAATAAATAAATAAATAAATAAATAAATAAATAAATAAATAAATAGCCGACTCTAGGCGATTCTATGGGCCAGTTTTCTCCACATCATGCGATCTTACACTACTTCTTTGAGTTGTTCTAAGCCCATGATGGGGAGCCTATGGCATGTCACAGGTAGCATGCGGAACCCTCTCTGCGGGCTAGGCGAGCCATCACCCAGCTCAGCTCCACTGCGCATGCTCGAGCACCAGTCGATTTTTGGATCTCTGCCCTGCAAGCGGGAGACAAGCATGCATGTGGGGGTGGGGTATCTTTCTCCTCACTTTCTGCTGCCCGTACCTTCCCAGATCTCCGGAGATTTCCCTCCCAGCACTGTTTTGGAAGGTGACGCTTTTTTCCCTCTCCCAGCCATTTTGGGAGGTGAGGCTTTTTCCCAAAACAACCCTGTTTTGGGAGGTGAGGCTTTTTTCCCTCTCCCAGCCGTTTTGAGAGGCGAGGCTTCTCCCCACCAGCGTTGTTTTGGGATGGTCGTGTGTGCATGCATGGGGGAATCATGCATTCATGTGCAGGGGGCGGGGCGTGCTGGAGGGGCATTGGATTATGGGTGTCGGCATATGTGCGTGCTTTTGGTACCCGAGGAAAAAAAGGTTAGCCATCACTGTTCCAAGCTCTAGTAAAAACAGGATTTTAAAAAATCTAAAAAACTACCAAAAAGCTTCATTCAGTCAGTCTCCCAACTCAGAATAAGTAGTAGAAACCAGCACACCAGGTAATTAAAAACCAAACTAACTGCTTATAGCGTCTTTATAAAAAAAGGACCTGAATTAAGTGAATATATATATAGAGCTAATTCTCTGAACAGTTTTGGAAATATGAAGCCAACAATGGATGACATTTTTTTAAAAAATGGAACAAACTGCCTTAAAAAAAAGCAGATTCAGGATTATTGGATTTTTTTTAAAAAAAATGGAAGAATGTTGTTTTTAGAATATGCAAAGAAATGCTTGGCAAATTATTGTTCAAAGAAATCGACTAGTTAGAGGAATTTCCAGGCTGGAGAAGCTATTAAATGGTGAAATCCTATTTAGAACAATGATGGAGTTCTTATAGAGAAGAATAGGGGGCTGGCTGACACCTATAATGGATGGTTTGATGGATTTCTGCACAAAGCCAAGTGTTGACTATATAACCTATAACAAAATTTAAGTTGCTAAGCAAGACAATTGTTAAGAGAGTTTTGCCCCCTTTTATGACCGTACATGTCACAGTTGTTAAGTGAATCACTGCAGATGTTAAGTTAGTAACATGGTTATTAAGTGAATCTTGCTTCCCCGTTGATTTTGCTTTTCAGAAGGTCGCAAAAGGTGATTACATGACCTCAGGGCACTGCAAACATAAAAACATACCAGTTGCCAATCATCCAAATTTTAATCACGTGATCTGGAGATGCTACAATGTTCATCAGTGAGAAAAATAATCATAAGTCACTTTTTTAAGAATAATTTGAATTGTCATTAAACAAATGATTGTAAGTCAAGAACAAAATACATGTGACATACACAGAATTAGATTATACAGAAATAATGAACATTGGCTACAAAAAATTCTCAAGTTCAGAAACTGCATTCAGAATGACTATGCTTTAGAGATCGAAAAAACTCCAGTGAAACTGCTTTAGAAAGTATGTAATATAAAAGTAGGCCAAATATTTTTAGGAAATTTGCTTGGGGAAAGTGTTCCTCTGAGATAACAGGACTGCTGTAAAACAATAATAAATAATAAATGTATGGAATAGCATAAATACTGCTTTATCATTATTTCCACATTTGTTATGAAATATGTATACTATTATGGCCAACTATTATAGCCACTGAAAAATAGTATAGATTTATATTAATCTCCAGCAATAACTCAAAATGTTCTCTTCTCTAAATTGAT